ATACTGCACGGTGTGGTGCGTGATGAACGCTAAGCCACCACCATTATCTCGCTCGCGATCTCGACGGTGCACGTTGTACCCGGCGCAATTCAACAAAGTTGAATTGCTGTGCAACTTCGTCTCTTGGACCGCAGCTATCAATATACCATGCCGACACATGAAGACGGTTATCTCCTCAATCTTGCTCTGTAGCCCGTTGCAGTTAAATTGAAGGAGCTTCATGTGGTTCGGGAGACGTGTCGTGATGTGGGGTGTAAGTGAAGTGTATGTTCTTGCCGCCGTTGGCTGTGTGTGCTGCTGAGGTGATTGCCGCCCTGTGGTGGTGGTGGGGGGCGTCGCAATTGGGGTCTGCGACCGAGCAGCGCAACACGGGCCCTCGAAGTTCCCAGTCCAATCTCGCGTGGTACGCAGACCTGAGCATGCCCTAAAGTGGCACCAGCCAAGGCAGGTGTTGCACTTGACTGATGTCACATTACGGAATATCCTGGTCTGACATACCGTGCAGATTGTAGGGGGAACCAGGAGTTGTTGGCGGCGGCGTGTGGGTGGTGGTGCGGTTGTGTGTGTTATGTGGTCTGTAGTGGCTGTGGTACGGTCTGTGGTGTTATTATGTTGTTGTGTTGTGGTGACTGTGTGTGGCTGCTGCGTGAGTGTGTGGGGCTGCTCGGGCGGACTGTGGTTAGCCGTGAAGGCTGCTCTGTTTGAGCAACAGGGGTCCACGTACGACGTGGTCCACTGTCTATGTGTCCGTAGTCCCGAGCAGACTCTGAGGTGACTCCACCCCTCGCAGGCATTACACTTGTCTGAGGTGGAGTTGTGGTGTAATCGTCTCCGGCATACACATCAGGTGTATGTTTCTGGCCCAGGGTTTGACTCGATGCCAGCCCTGAGTAGGAGAATACGTAGTGAATGTAGCCCTATGGACGGACAACTTCTGAGATACTTCGCCGACCTAAACGGGGTTAGATCGCTCTCTCCGAGTTTGCTGCAACAACAATTGCACGCAGTTTGCCAAACAAAATTTCTGCATAACACCGACCTTAGATACTATGAGAGTTAAGTGTGGATACACCTTAATATTTTGTTTTGTTTAAGAATCCGGTGCGTGTCCATTCCATTATAGCGGACCTTTTTTCAAGTGTATGCCGTACTTGTTCGAAATTCATTAGCTTTATACATATATTTGAAGTAATTTGTTATTTTTATTATCCCGCATCAGGAAAATACCTAATAGTTTCATCAGTACTCTGAGGCAATTTTTTGTTCTTACGGTTGCTCGTAACAACCATGCCGACAATTAAAGTAACTCCTTTAGGAGCTGGCCAGGATGTTGGTCGCAGTTGCTTGCTGTTATCAATGGGTGGTAAAAATATTATGCTTGATTGTGGTATGCACATGGGCTACAACGATGAACGACGTTTCCCTGATTTTTCATATATTGTGCCAGAGGGTCCTATAACAAGCCATATTGATTGTGTCATTATTTCACATTTTCATTTGGGTAAGTTTTGCTAGTTTGTTTGCTAGTAAGTCAAGATTATCATTTTGATATTTTTGCCACAGATCATTGTGGTGCCTTACCGTACATGTCCGAGATGATAGGTTATTCGGGACCAATTTACATGACCCATCCGACTAAAGCCATCGCGCCAATTTTATTGGAAGATATGCGTAAGGTTGCTGTTGAGCGTAAAGGAGAATCAAATTTTTTTACCACTCAAATGATTAAGGATTGCATGAAAAAGGTTACAGCAGTCACATTGCACCAAAGTGTAATGGTGGACAATGAACTGGAGATTAAGGCCTACTATGCAGGTCACGTGTTAGGCGCCGCTATGTTTTGGCTGCGCGTGGGATCACAATCAGTTGTCTATACTGGCGATTACAATATGACACCTGATCGTCACTTAGGTGCGGCATGGATTGACAAGTGCCGACCCGATTTGCTAATTTCGGAAAGTACATATGCAACAACTATACGCGATTCCAAGCGGTGCCGAGAACGTGATTTCCTGAAGAAAGTACATGAATGTGTAGCAAGAGGAGGAAAAGTTCTTATTCCAGTATTTGCGTTGGGTCGTGCTCAAGAGCTATGTATTCTATTGGAAACATATTGGGAGCGTATGAACTTGAAATTTCCTATTTATTTTGCCGTGGGCCTAACGGAGAAAGCAAATACCTATTATAAAATGTTTATTACTTGGACAAATCAGAAGATACGTAAAACATTCGTTCAGCGTAACATGTTTGACTTCAAGCATATTAAACCATTCGATAAGGCCTACATTGACAACCCTGGTGCAATGGTTGTTTTTGCTACACCAGGAATGTTGCACGCTGGCTTATCGCTGCAGATTTTTAAGAAATGGGCACCGAATGAAAATAACATGGTCATCATGCCAGGTTATTGCGTACAAGGTACAGTGGGAAATAAAATTCTTGGAGGTGCGAAAAAGGTGGAATTCGAAAATCGACAAGTAGTTGAGGTAAAAATGTCGGTCGAATATCTAAGCTTCTCTGCACATGCTGATGCAAAAGGTAAGCATTGGTGCAAATATTTGCCTTTATTTATATTTATNGTGGGAAATAAAATTCTTGGAGGTGCGAAAAAGGTGGAATTCGAAAATCGTCAAGTAGTTGAGGTAAAAATGTCGGTCGAATATCTAAGCTTCTCTGCACATGCTGATGCAAAAGGTAAGCACTGGTGCAAATATTTGCCTTTATTTATATTCAAAAATATTACAGGTATTATGCAGCTAATACAAAACTGCGAACCAAAGAATGTTATGCTAGTACATGGTGAAGCTGAGAAGATGCAATTTTTACGAAGTAAAATAATGGAGGAGTTTAATACTGAGACATATATGCCTGCAAATGGGGAGACTTGCGTTATTTCAACTCCAGTAAAAATTCCAGTTGATGCCTCTGTTTCATTGCTCAAAGCAGAGGCTCGCGCCTACAATGCCCAACCACCAGATCCAAAGCGTAGACGACTCATTCACGGAATACTTGTAATGAAAGACAATCGCATAATGCTGCAGAATTTAACAGAAACCTTGAAGGAGTTCGGCATTAATCGGCACGTAATGCGATTCACTTCAAAGGTAAAAATGGATGATCCAGGTCCACGCTTGCGCACCTGCGAAAAGCTTTTTGCTCTGCTACAGGATAAATTGGTTGGCTGGACAGTAAGCATGCAGGAGAATTGTACCATATGTGTAGAAACAGTAGAGATCAAAATTGAGGAAGATGAAAAGGATCCAAAGCACAAAACTCTACTTTTATCGTGGACTAATCAGGATGAAGATATTGGCGCTTACATATTAAATCTACTTCAGAATATGTGTTGATATGAACATTTCCGTAATTTCCAGCTATAACTTCTTAATACACGTTAACTTTGTTATTACTAAGCAATACAAAGTTGATAATAAAATATATTTTTATTGTACGAAAATTGTAGAAAAACTATGTGATTAGTAGCAAAGCATAAAAGTACATATTTAAAAAGTCCCGTCGCACTGTAGAACTCATCTGTGCATCATAGACAAATAGACAGCTGACTAGACAAGTAGACAATATGAACCATTCGTCGTTTAAGAGAGCTTTGGTTGTTGCCCCACGGATGCATTCGACCCCATGTGTGCTGCATGGTGCACCAAAGTTTTACCTTGGAAATATCTTCTGCCAGTTACAGTACTGGAAGCGGAAGTCGAACTAACGTTTGCTGATGTAGTTGCTCCCGAAAATAATAATGTGTCCACCGAAGGCAATTTTTGGCTTTTTGAAGACTGCGTGAGCAGCGGCATTCCCATTGCGGACATTGGGTGCAAGTAGAAATGATTGATAATCGCTTGAGTTGTCGCCGGCCTAGCATTTGAATTTGACGGCACCATCTGTGTTGTCACTTGAGGCAACAGGTGTTGCAATTCAGCCACGGTTTGCTGCGCCAAAGAATTATTGTGACTAGTGACCGTAGTTAGAGAGTGTGTGTTTGACTTAAAAGAATTTACAAGGAAATTATTTGTTGATGCTACAGTGGACTGCGCATTGGCAACACCATTTACGCTGACCGGTTGCAAGGGTGGCATAACAGCCGGCGTTGCGGAAAGTTCGACAGATGCTGGGGACGAGTACGGCGATGATTCCAGCGAAGAACACAGTAGCCGCTGATTCATGTCCTTTAGTGAAACTGAAATTCGAATTTAATATTATGTTTTGTTAAACTAGCTAAGATATTAAAATATTTACCATAATCCTCTTCTTTGATGCGCGTCGATGACAAATCCATCGGATCAAATTCTTTTTTTATTTTGAAGTGCAGCGCTGCCGTAGCCTCAGAAGATGAAATGGCATTATCAGTCTCCATGCCAGCGGAAGGCTGTGGCACATATAATCCACACTCTTCCATTTCAAGTGCTTGCTCCATAATAAGTTCTTCAGCAGAAGTGATACTCAGATCGGGAAAATTACTAATTGCACAACGCGTGTCGGCCAATAAAGATGTGCTTAAATGTGATTTTAAGTTACTTTCTGGTTCGCTAATTTCCCGTTTAATGGAGGATAGTAACGATATGGCGGGACTGGCTTTTTGCACTTGTTTGGGTGAAGGCTGCTTTCGCTCACGCTTTGGCTTAGCCGTTTTGCAAGTATCATTTTTGTTTAGTGCTACTACTGTTATTGGCTTTAAATTCCCCGCTATAGACAAAGGAATGGATGTCATAATGTTGTTCGTGCGTATCACTTCAGTTTTGATAATTGCAGACAATTTGGAAACAGCGATTGAGGGTAAATTATTATCATCTCTGATTGCTACCAATGGAGGGGGCTGTGCCGGCGTTGGCAATGGCAACTGTTGCGGAGATTTTTTCTTTCGCTTAGAAGCTGGTGGCTTTGCCGTTTCTGTAGTTGCTCCATTACCTATTGTTGCTGGTGCAGGATGAGTTTTATTTGCCTCAGCAGGTTTTGTTGTTACTAAAGGCTGAGCAGGGGTTGCGTTATTTGTATCAGTTGCCTTTGCTTTAGTAGATTTCGTCGATTTTTTAGAACAATAAGAGGGAATGTTTTCCAAATGCTCGCCAGTTTTGTGGTCTACTTTGTGACGGCGGCGGGTATGTTTCAGCCAGTTAGGGAAGTTGGTAAAGTCCCGTGGACAATAGTTGCATTTGAATGGCCTTTCGCCGGTATGAATATTGGAGTGCTGCTTTAGTTTGGAATTACTTATAAATGACTTATCGCAAACGTTACAAGCAAATGGTCTTTGCTCCAGGTGTACAAGGTTGTGCACTTTAAGACAACGTTCAGTTTTGTACATTTTGCCACATTTTTCGCAACGATATGATCTTGTCTGAGCATGATATTTTTGGTGGCGTTGCAGATGAGAACGTTCTTGGAACCTAAATTTGGGTGAACACATTAGTTATTTATTTCAAATACAAATATAAATGTAGTACGCCTTGAAAATTACCTCTTCTGACATTCTGGACATTCGTAAGGCTTCTCAGCGGTATGGATACGGGAGTGATGAGTCAAGTTGATCTTTTGTACAAATTTTTGGCCACAAATATCACAGCCGTATTTTTTGTTATCACTATGGATTTTGCGATGCATCCACATGCTGCCTAATTTAAGACTAAAGAGAAAACGGTAATTTGTATATCCAAAAAAAATTAGGGGAATGAGAAGAGCTTACCATTTGCCGCAGTCGGGACATTTTTTCCAAGCATCTTTTCTCGGATCTGCTGAACGATGCGTTTTTACATGTTTCTTCAAACTCGCCTCTTGTTCAAAGTCACGGTCACACACCGAACACCGATAGTGAATACGATGTCCGACAGCCTCATGCGTAGCATATTCCCCTCGCCCCTGCAATATGAGACCATCACAGTCTAGGCACTTAAATACCGGCTCAGGAATTTTGGCACCGGTTTCTAGTGGAACGGGTCCTTTAATAACCTTAACATCAGCCTGTGATGTTAGTAACGAAATGTTATTATTATTACTACTACTACAACTTGGTCCATTATCTTCTGGTAATGTAAAAATATTGAAACTAGATGATGAGATCTGTTTGTTGCTACTGACTACAACATGATTGATGGGTGCACGTTTGATATCATTTGTGTTATTTGCAACGGTCTGGATATTATCAACTGCGGCATCGTCAAGATGAGTTGCATTCAATTGGTATGAATGGCCAATTGCATGCATGTCCTTTTTTAAATCCCGTCTAATTTTCTCTTTAGACCTGTCGATTTGTCGTTGTTGATCCGCCTGAAGTGGTTTTATTAATAAGCGTTTTAGAGGANATTTTCCGAAACTTTACGAGTTAAAGGAAACCCTCTAATTAAAGTCATAAATCGTGTAAAACTCGTAAGTTTACGGGGCTTTTATGGGGCCGCCCTCTATGTGAAAAGGTGTAAATAGGTGCGATGTGCTAGCTATTTTAGCCGGAAATTTATACTGCAACCTCCGATGGACAAAGCCAAGCGTCGAGTGGGAAGGCTGCACAAACTGCCAACAACAAGTGCGCCTCATGTTTTTACCTGCGGTGAAGTTCAGATAGACATCGGGAAGGCGAAAGCCTCCAAATACATGGGATCCAACAGAATATGCTTGCTGATGCTGAAAAATTACGGGAGTAGACTATTTAGCCAAGGTTCTCAACCTGTCAATGGCTACGCTCGTCATTCCTGACATCTGGAACTCAACTGTTCAAACCGTCAGCCACTCCACGTTGCTAGAAGACGGATAGACTTCTTCACTCCCACAGAGACTCAAACGGTGGTCAGAGAATTATATGAGCCGTCGACACTCGTCAGCAATGTTTAGAGACAAATCGAGCAAATCTAGAAAAATAAAACAGAGGGTTCCACAGGGTGGTGGTGTCCTTTCCCCATTACTGTTTATCTATTATATTTCCAAGCTCCCTCAACCACCAGAGACTCCCTCTCGATTGTCTCTTACGCTGAGGATTGTTCGACAATGGCGCCTGGGAATGGAATTGATGAATTGTGCTCGAAGGTAAACGGGTATCTCTCCGAGCTTTCTCGCTTCTTCACTACTAGGAGTCTAACCCTCTACCATACAAAACCCACTGCGACCTTATTTACCACCTGGACGAAGGAGGTCAGACTACCGCTGGGTATTCATGTTGATGACACACCAATTCCAACGGTGAATAACCCAAATATACTCGGAGTAACATCCGATAGTCTGCTCTCCTTCTCTGCGCACACAACCGCAATTGTCAACAAAGTACAGAACCGCAACAAGGCCCTCAAGTCGCCAGCCGGAAATACCTGGGACAAAGACAAAGAAACGTTGCTGGCAACATACAAGGCAATTGGCCGGCCGGTTCTGAATTACGCAGCACCAGAGTGGTCGCCGCAGACCAGTTGGATGCAGTGAATGAATCTACAGACAGCACATAACACTGCACTACGCACAGCGACCGGATGTCTTCTGATGTCGCCAGAACACCACCTACACGACGAGGTGAAAATGCTCTCCATAAAGGAGCACAACACAATGATCTGCAGGCAATTCTTAGCAGGGAGCCACAGACGTTGACACCTGAACAGACACCTGCTTGCAGAGGAGCCCTCGCCAAGGCATGTCAGAAGGCATCTTTACGAACTGAAGGACGGAGTCCAGAGCTTCATAAAGCAACCTCTGGATGCGTCAGCTTATCGACAGGCCCTGAGCGGCATTCGCAGGGAGTCAAGTCTCCAGTTGCCTAGACTCCAGACCTGTGAATGCCGTTCTGGGCACATAACCACTTGACATAGACGAGACTGGGCCTCGTCTGCTTCGGGAGACTCGGACCACAATACCCCAACTTCGCTCTGGCTACTGCAGCAGGTTGAACTCATACCCGTTAGTTGAGCTTGACGACAACGACTGAGATACTAACCGATCTGGGTGGGGTTGTTGTAGCCGCTACAAAAACAACAACACGCTGTTTTACTCTTGTATGTAATTTCACTGCCCCGTATTTTAAAGGCGTTGAGGATGTCTAAAACTTCCGCTTGGATGATGATCGTAGAGACAGAGCAACACTGAGATCACGGAGTAGACAACAGCTCCCACACCGCAATCCATCTTTAAGCCGTTGGTGTATAGAGAGATAGTCTCTCTATCTGCCACTCGATCTCTTCACCAGTCTCTTATGGATATGAATTACACTTGCCGCTGATTCATACCCACTTCTTTCAGGTGAAGATCGATTTAGATTGCGTTGAGGATAAGCATTTAGCGTTTCTTACTCAAGCTGCTACTCCTGCGCTTGCTCTCCTTTGTATGCTTTCCAAATTCTGCTGAAGATTTTCTTGCAAGTGTAGTATGCTGTTCAGGCCTTCTGTATACGAAATTCGACATTGCTTTTCTCATTAAGTTTGCCATCCAGCACGACTCTGAGGTACATACTTTGCAATGGGGAATAATAGGATGAGTTCTATCTTGGTATTTACACTCATGTAGCATTTCCAAGTTTGGTTTTTTGTCCTTGCGCCCGGATTGCCCCGCATCCTTCTTCTCCGGGCGGACATTGAGCCCAATCCCGGACTAGAAATCCACTTCTGCTGCGTCTGCAAGAGGCGAACTTCACTTCGGTTAGGTGTAGCACCTGTAAAGGATGGAGTCAGCTAAGAACATGTCCAGGCCTTAGGTCTCACAGGGAGTGGACCACAAAGACTTGCATAGAACAGTAGTTTTCAAAAGGAAATTTTAGGTCCTCATGGAGTGGCAAGTTCAGGTGGGCACACTTAAGTAGTATGCAGATGCCTCTAAAACCCCTGAGGGGGTTGTTGCCTGCGTTTATCCCCCCCATACTGAAGATATCGCTGCCGCTGGGAGCCTTCCCAAGCATCTTTCAAGTGGAAGTCTATGCCATCAGTTTGTGGGCTGAGATTAACCTGCGAAGGAAGTATTGAAGCGAAAGGTCTCTAATTTAAAATGACAGCCAGGCGGCACTCAAGGCTCTCAAAAAGCTTACTAGAAGGATACAATCTGAAAATATGCAGGAAACTCATGGGCCTCCCTAAGGAGAAACTAATATAAAATAAGCGCAGGTTTTTGGGGGGGCCATTGTAGGTTAAGAAAGCACCTTACAATTAAGGAATGTGATTAAGCGACCAATGTCACTTTGGTGAAGCTGCCGGAGATTCCATTTCACCACCTTTTGGGCTGTTTAACGCAAAAGGGAGAGAAGCATATTTCCTACCTGCTCCGGCTTCTATTCTGAAGTTTGTAGAGTCTCTGGTACTGGCTGAGGTGTTCTGAAGACTAAAGGGCACAATTGACCTATTGGTCACAGTTCTTCGTTATTTATCTATCTAGCTATCTGTCATTAGTACTGGTGCTATCTTCGCCCTCACTCCATGAAGCATATGCTTTCTGGTCGTGGGAATTTGAAGGGGGATAAGTCATTTCTAGCGTATAGAATCTCACTACTGCTCATGATCGAGCGCAACAGTCTACTTGGTTGTCGAATACATCATGTGAAAAGAAACTTTACTAATCGGTTAAAAGAGCCACATCGATAGGATTTTGCTAGAACCTGGCGGAGTCCTTAGAGTTCACTATGGAAGAACTGTAAGATTGCCGGGATTTGCACCTTCAGATAAGGCAATCAAATCGCCTGCCTGATAACCGTAGCGTCTTTCAGGTGGAGATCTTTGCGAAAGAAAACAGCTTGTCTCATACAGGATAGTAAGTCTCTGTCAGGGAACGTCAAGGAGTCTCAAGCACTTGGAATCACGCCTTAAAAATAGTTTGGGGGAGATAGGGGATTATAAATATGTATACGTAAACAAACACCATAATAAAAATATAAAATAACTTCGGTTAGAAGGATATGCCTTCTCCTGGCACACATAGATGGTATTCAGAGTGGGCAAGTGGAAGTACGAGTCATTCGTATGCGCCTTCCTAACCTAACCTACTCAGTGTCAGGCAGATGAATGGCACTAAAAATTGTTCAAGTGTTCTTAAATATATTTTTTTAAATTTACTTTACAATTTATGATCGGCATCAAGATTCAAGATACATACCAACCCATTCACAAGCATGTCGCTACATACTTACATACATATATTTGTACAAATGAGTGTATGTTTGAATGTGCACACCATTTAGTCAACGATATTAATGAAGTTGTTCAAATTGTATGTACATACATATATACATTCATACATGCATACATATGTACATTTTTAAGAGTACAACATGAATGGCATAATAACAGCACAGCAAATCTACTTGTCGGTGTACAAACATATCGACAAATCAACTTGTCCAGTTCAATTCAATTCAATTCAATTCACTTTACCTTAACAACGACTGACCTATTGCATATGCATATGTGTAAGCAAACATACCCTGTAGGAAAAATTTATCTACATAGTTCTGAACTGCCATGCTTCTAGTGCCTTTAGAACCAGGTTTAGTTGGTAAATTTAAAACGGCGATGTCAAAGTCTATGTTGCCATAAAAATTGCAGTTTTTTATACAATTTATATTTAACTTGCTCTGTATGTATGTATGTATGTATGTATGTATGTAATACACACTGTGCACACTGGGGCGGTAGGGTAAGACCCAGTTGAAATGATTCCAGCAATGGAATTCTGACAATCGCTTCGCTATATTTTCGTCGCAAAAATTTTTTAAATGAAAAGCTGCAGGGCCTAAAAGCTCTAAATTGCTCTTGTTTTATACTGAAGTACCCTGCCTTCTCCATGTTTCTAGATGATGGGACATTTCCTTTGCCAAATTCTTATTTAGCAAAGACTTGTAGAGTTCTTTTGGCGAACTGGTCAATTGTTATATGAGGAGGCTCAAGTGTGAAGACTACGTCCACCGCCGCAGTCGGACATGTACGCATTGTAGCTTGGTGAGCGATCGTTTCACTTTTGCTAGAGTAGTTCTTGAAACCCAAGCTACAGCCTCATAGGTTACCATTGGTTTTACTATCATAGTGTATAGCCAGGACTATCCAGCCCTTCGCTGGCGACGTTAACCTCGACCCCCTCCAAAGTTATTTCCTTCATGCNTATCCAGCCCTTCGCTGGCGACGTTAACCTCGACCCCCTCCAAAGTTATTCCCTTCATGACCAGCAGAGATCTTTTCCCGGTGAATGGAATAATGGCGGTTTTAAGTTGGTTTAATGTTTAGCCTAGATAGATAGATAGAGAGATGAGTCTGGTAAGCACTGCCACAAGAAGGTCCATTGTGCCCATGTTTAGCCCTAACATGCAACACAGTCATTTCGTTAATCTTAAATCCAATTGAATGAGTCACAGTGGGTGCTCTCAAA